TTTCTTTCTTTCTTTCTTTCTTTCTTTCTTTCTTTCTTTCTTTCTTTCTTTTTTTTCCTTTTTTGAATTTGTAAGCTACCCATTTCCAATGGATTTGGGATATCATCTTGAATTTTTGACTCTCCTTGAAGACCTGTGGTTTTTTTTCTCAAAAGCATGGCTCCATGGTTGCCAACCAATTACAGATGAAGAAATGAGGTGGGAGAGAGAACAGAAAGAAGGAAGGGAACAAGACCATGTTCATTAATTTATTTAAACAAATAACCCTCTCCCCTGATCAGTATGCCAGGGAAGGAAGGAAGGAAGGAAGGAAGGAAGGAAGGAAGGAAGGAAGGAAGGAAGGAAGGAAGGAAGGGCAATTCTTTTTTTTTTGTTCCCCTGCCTACTGTTATAGGAAACAGGAAAAAATGGAGGAAGATGGAAAAGCTTAAAAGAGCATTTTTCCCAGTCTCTGCTAACCATAACAACATTCTCTACGTTACTCTGCCAAACTGCAAGATTTATTTTTAAATATATTAAGTAGTTGGATAAATAGATTTTGTTATGCAGGGTTATAGACTGAAATCTATTCTAATATAAAGGAGATTTATTTTTCTCATTAAAATCTATAGTTTATGGATTTATTCTTAAATATGCATATGGCTGTCCTACAGCATTTGTCTATCTGTATTATGGAGAGGGAACTAAAATTGCTACTGTCTTTAACTTATTAAATTTATTTTATGTGAAATTATCTTAAGATAATATCTAAGCTGAATATAGCAGATAAACAGGGGAATCAACTCTAATGCTTAAAAATCAGGCAATATATGGGTATTTATTTTATCAGTTAGGTATTTGAAAATTCCCATGTGTTGTGCATTCTTGAATAGATGCTTGGGATTTTCTTGCATGAGTGCATCTAAGTGAATACAGTTTTTCCTTGGTTCATTATTCACATGAACTGCATAAAAACTTGAAGATGTGGGGAGCCATGTGAATTTCCCCTTAATTTTACTTGGAGCTACTGGCATTCTCCAGCTGACTTACAATAGAAATTGATGCATAGCCCAGAGCACGAAAGGATATAGAAATTGCCTTACTTGTTCAAGTACTGTACTCCTCTTATAAAGTATCCAAAAGGGTTCCAAAAGGGATTAACCAAATACTGCCAACATGCCTTCAATCAGTGTAGGGAGTGAAAAGTATTTATTGCATTTTCAACAACTTGTATTTTCTGTCATATTCTATTTAAATATTTTAAAACAAATTCAAAAGTCTCACTGGCATTGAATAACTGTTGATAAATTGTCTATCATTGCTTTAGCCTTAAAGTAGGAACTTAGAGCGTTCTTTATGTTCAAGGCTGCCCTTCTCTTGATTAGCTAAAGTGGCTGATAGCAATAGGAATTGTAGTTAAAAATGTCTAAATGATATTGTAATGTTTGCATATGGTCCAAGAGTTATTAATTTTTCTGAGCTTACTTTCTGGTTTGGACCCTTCTTATGGAAAAATGAATTTCTAAATTATTCAGAGCAATAAACAATAGTATATCAACCAGATATGAGCACCATAGGCAAAATAATAAAAAATATCCTAAAATCAGAAGATCCAATCCTCTCATAAAGCTTAGGTAAATCCCCAGAAATCAGGGAAATTTGTTTCTTTGTTTTATTTAGAAGTGCTTTTAATCTATTAAGGATATAATAAATGCCTAAATTTATTCATTGCATTATGTCATGAACTTTTGGTGTCAATTATGAAAACCATTAAACTAAAAACCATGATTAACATGCTATAAAGGTGAGATTCACAGATCATGATAATCTAAAAGCAAATGTGTTTTTGTATGTTTTTACACTTGAGGTAAAAGGATAGAAAAGAGCAGCTGCTCCACCACAATGAGGGTTAACAAGTCATTCTTGACCCACACATGTATGACCATTTAGATTTAATAGATACTGGATTCAAATATTTACACTCTCATAGAGCCAGTGATGGAACAGGCATGCTAAAATACTTATATTCTACATAGATGCTTCAGTGTTCTTATATATTATTCCAGAATGTGAAACGCAGTTGAATTTCTCTCTCATATTTTACATATAGGTAATCATAATGAACACATGCAAAATATAGCCATAATATATATATATATATATATATTTTCGGGTATTTTCCCACGTCATTATAGTTGTGCTTTTAAAGTTGTAGCAACTTTTTGGCAGAATCTCATCTGCCATCATCAGGCTTATGTATTGTGTTCGTCTGTGAGTCAGACTAAATTTGGGGCTATGAAACGGCTGTGAAAGTTTGACTCACAGATAAACACAATACAGAAGCCTGATGATGGCAGATGAGATTCTGCCGAAACGTTGCTACAACTTTAAAAGCACAACTATAATGACGTGAGAAAATACCCGAACAAAGCTGAATACCATATATATATATGTGTGTGTGTGTGTGTGTATGTGTTCTGTGAATATATGTCAATGTATATGTATCTTTGTTTAAGGATAAAGTTTGAATGCATTTTTCTTGGAAGGCTCCATAAATATTTCCTAACAGATCTGCTAGTACTAGAACTGTTACTGAGAAATAATAATGGATCTACAGTATGATTATTCTCTGAATTTCATGCCATTTTGCATATATAAACTTGAATCTGTAGTTCCAACAAACTAACTACTATCTGATCCTCATTCCACCTTACATTGTTCAATAAATACATCTTTACTTGGAACAGAATGCAGCTCAGTTTTTAACTACAGCTAAATACAACTGGTTATTTACCCTTTTATTTTAGTTTCATTTAAGTGGAATGTTTGCTTAGGGTGATTAGTACATCGTTGCCATTGTTGTAATATGTCTTCCCATTCATCTGTCAAGGGGTAACAAATGATTGCCTTGTTTTGCAGGTGGTACTGTGAAGGGAAAGAGCTTGAAAATTCACCATATATTCAGATCATCCAATCAGGAGAGCTACATTCACTAATTATTGTTGAAGCTTTTGAAGAAGACACTGGGCGTTATTCTTGCTTTGCATCCAACATCTATGGGACAGACTCAACGTCTGCAGAGATTTATGTAGAAGGTAATAGTAGAAGCTTGAAACTGAACTAGGGAAAGTATCATATAGAACTTGTGTTATATATATTTTGGCTGTTTTCTTAATTCAAATGAAGTCCTGAGATATGGAAAGAGCTTTTCCAAGATTTAAGAAGTAATTCTTACTCTTATTTATAATGTGCATGCAGCCACTAATTTTAAAGGGTAATGATAGTTGTCTCCCTGACTATAAAACAAAGATCAGTCATGCTGCTCTTGAAGAGCTCAAAATGTCTTCCCACTTTCCCTCCAATTGCCAATGGTCATATGTCAGTATACAAATGAAGCAACAACTGTATTACAGACACCAACAGTTCTGAAGCTGATCCTTCGACCCTTAAGATCTTTCTGTCGGGGGCTGTAATAAAACTAATATTATGAATTTTGAAAAAAAAAAAAAAAGGAAAAGGAAAGAAAACCAGAATTCAGACTTGGCTTATTAATGGGCAAAATTTGGATGGGGTAACATGTTTCAGTATCTGTGGGGGGGGGATGCATGTGTGTTAACACACACACATACACACATACATATATACACACACATACATACACATACAGATATACATATACATGTACATATACAGTACATATACATACTGTCAGCCAGCTTTGCAGAGTTCTTTCCAGTTTTACAGATGGAATTTGGAAGAAATGAAAACTAGCTGCCATCACTTGTGTGATAACTCACTAGACTACCATATCTTTATGGCATTGTGCTTTTCATTCATGCCAGAAGCAAACATAGATATTCTATAGGTATATTATAGAGAGTGATATATTTACATATGTATTTATCTGTAAAGCATATACCTGTTACATAATTTTTACCTAATTAATCATGGAATATCCAGTTTTGAGGATGTGGCCTGATCTTTTTTAAGCAACAATCTGTTTTAAGCAACAATCTTCATATCTGAATCTGTTCCCAAAGAAGTTTAAAAATATTTCTCTTAGAAGTCTGAATATCAGGGAAGATGTGTTGTCTTATGCATTATGATATAATTATAAAACTATATAATTTATCTGAGGTGCAACATAATCAATGCATTTGTATGATGATAACATGATGAGCATAATTTAATGTGGCTTCTACTTAACAACTATACTGAGGAGTGATTTATTTTTTTTTATTACAATACAACTGATGATCAGTTTTAATCCAGTTAATATTTACTGATAGATTTTCCCAGCAGTGATTGAAAAAAGTAGTTGTATTTTTCAGTGGAATGAAAAGTGTAAGGGTGCCAATTGTCATCTGTCCAGAAACACTACAGCAGTACCAGAACCACAGGGTTTTTTGTATGTTCTTAAAAGAAACATGTCTCCCATTTCTTATAGGGACATAATTGCTAAGGAAAGATTCCAAAGATATTAGGATCCAATCCCACAAATCAAATTAGTTGCACAAAATCATTGTGCTATCAACAACAAAACTTAAAAGCAGGCAGTCTACATTGCACTCAGATAAGTAAACTAATAAATATGGTGACCCATGGAAATAATCTTTGCTTTCCCACAGGGGCCTCGTCTTCAGAATCTGAAAGTGACAACGGCAAAGAAGAAATGGATCGGTAAGTCTAGTGTGACTTTGGGACACTCGTGGACACTTCTATTCTTTGGTTAGATTTTCCAATTTGTTACATTTCTTTTAAAAACAATTGCAGGGAATTGGGGTGACAGGGAATTGAATCAGAAGAGTGGGAATAAACTTCTCTCCCATCTCATTTTCCCAATCTATATCATCAGTTTCAAAATGCTAGATGTATGAATTATTATGTGTTATTAATCAGCTAAAAGCAACTAATGGATCAATTCTATTTGGAAAATGATGCAGCAGATTCTTTGGAAATCTCTCTGGTGACTTAATACATACTTTTATGTAGGTATTGCAGGAAGCAATACTAAAGAGTTTAGCCATTGTCTTCTTTTGAGATTTATTTTTAACTTTCCTACCTAACCAGACATCCTGTACTTACTACTTAGCTTCCAAATAGATATGATTTGAGCAAATCCATAAGATGCAAGCCTTCAAAAGACTGTCCAAGTAGAAATGTATCTTTCTCAAACTTCACTGAACTCCCAAGAAGAAACTGAGGCCCCTTGCTTTCCACTAAAGCGAATGTTAATAGACTACTTTTGAGAACTTTTGTTCTCAAAGGACGGGATTATAAAGGATTAGGTCCCAATTAACTAGAGTTTCCCTTTCTTGCTGCTGAAGATCCACCTGTCACTAGATAAACTTCAATATTCTTCATATAATGAAAATGAGTATTATGTTTGCCAAAAATGTGACAAGTCTTGTCAATGAGAAAATCTGATCTTTGCAGCTGTCTGTTCAGTCACTGCTATGTGATATTTCCCCATTCCTATTTCCAGACTGTAAGAATGACTTAGCCAGTGAAGGTTCATTCTCATCCCAATCCTCAAGTATGAGCTCCCTCTTTTAATGGGTCTCCTTCTTAATTCTAAATGCCTGAACATAGCCATCTCTACATTCACATATATCCTGATCATTGCAAAGAACCACTCATACAGATTAATAATAATGGAAAACACGGAGGACTTTTATTACTTTGTGGACCACTGGGATGCCTAGTACTTGAAGAAATCTGCTAGTAATTTCTGAGCATTTGAAGCAATGCTCTAAATATTCTGTCATTCTAAAATTATTGACATTCTATTGTTTATTATATTGAGGGCAGTTCCTCAAAATCCCAGGAAAAACCAATAGTAAACCATTGCCGTTATGCTTCTGAGACCTGGATGTCATCAACTGGAGCTGAGTCCAGTTCAAGGGCATCCTTACTTTTAACTCCCTCAGGAGCAGAGGGAATATCCCATCTTTCACTTTTCAACCAGAGGAAAAAAAAATGTTCACCATTCCTGTTTCCCCCACAGAGCAAGGAATTAAACCACAGAACTTCCTTAGAATGCTTGATCAAGACAAAAGGGAGGAGACACACTTTGGGGCGAGGATGCTTTGAGAAGCTTTAAAGTCAGGGTTCTGTTTTTTTATTCTATTTTATTTATTAGTCAATTGTATGACAGAACTTCCCAATCCATCGAGGCAGTTTTTTAAATCACTCAAAATCAATGGATAAAAATAGTTTCAGCCTTCACAAACACATGTTGTTTTCTTTTTTGTCAATTAGCTTTTTTCGACTTTTTCCCAGGTATCAAAATCAGACTAAGACCTCATCCACTGCACCTCCTCCTGCTCCTCTTCCTCCCACTCCTCTTCTTGTGAATTCTTCTGCAACCCATCAAGAAGCCATTCAAACACAACCTTTGATGAAACATCCTGTCTCAGTTCCTGTGTATCAGGTGAGAAAAATAAATATGATGCTTCCCTCAAGGGAACAAAAATGCCGCTAGCTTTGTGTAACTGTGGTGCTGTCATCCAGTCTGCCCCAAGATGCTATTTTCTGAATGACATCCGGTCATTTGAGAATGGATTGCAAGGTTCAGAATTCCAAACCAGCACATTCCATTGATGGTTTTGACCAAGAATTCTGGGATGGGCAGTCACTGGTACTTGGAGAATATCCCATGGAGGAAGCCAATTGTAGACACCATGTTACAGAAGCAGCTGTTCTACAGACTAGGATTAATCTGCATTTTATCCTTAATCTTTGGTTTTCAGTTGAAGTGATAACACAATTGATGAAAGTATGAAAAATGGGAGAACATAAACCAAAATAAAATAATCAGATCAGAATAAATTGTTTAAGGGTTGGGAGAATATAATGTATTATGAAAAGAATGCTGGTTGTTACAAATACAATTCGACTTTATTCAGAAGGGTTAGAGAAGCAATTCCAGACCCTATGCATTTTTATCTTACTAAAAGACTAGGAACTCACAGCTGATGCAGCTTTATGTCACCCTTAACTGTTCTGATTAGGAGGTAGCATTCTATCTCCTCTCCAACTGAATCTTTTTTATATGGTCCAGCACAGGGTGTCCAACGTTGGCAACTTTAAGGCTTGTGGACTTCAACTCCCAGAGTTCCTCAGCCAGCAAAGTTGAAGTCCACAAGTCTTAAAGTTGCCAACATTGGAGACTCCTGGCTCCAGCATATTTCACTGACATCCTTCTGGGAGTTTTTAATGACCAAGACTTTCTAAAGGATCTTTGGGGAATGAACATGTGTTTTTTTAAATTAAAAGCTACTGTGAGTTCTGTTATTGCATTGTGTTTTTAATGTTTCTTTATTCTGTGGATGTCCTCACTTATTTTAGTATATTGTAAATAACCCGAACATTGAGCAGTGTGCAAGGATGGGCACGAAGTCTTTTCATTTATTGGTGCTGCTTTGGCACTTCGGTTCTGTCTCTTCACTGTCCATGTTTTAGAATTCTTGAAATTGTTTACATTTTAAAACTTTTTTAAAGAAAAAAATAATAGCAGTAATATTATTTTAAAACTATTTTAGGGAACAATGTTCCAGATTGGGATTGTTTTTAATCATGAAAGAATAGAATAGAAGTAACAATTATTTTTGTGAATAATAAATCATTCACACTTCAGGTTTTTTTTAAAGGTTCCATGTTAAATTGTGAGGCAATGTGTGGCCAAGAATTTGAGCCAGATATTGTCAGTGTTTATCTAAGGTGCGCCAATTTGGTTTAGTGGCTAAGACACGGCTAGAAAGCAGGAGGCCATGAGTTCAAATCCCTCCTTGACTTGAGAATAAAAGCCAGCTGGGTGACTTTGGGCTAATCACTCTCTCTCAGCCCAACCTACCTCATAGGGTTGTTGTTGTGGGGAAAATAGGAAGAGGAAGGATCTGTTCACTGCCTTGTATTATTTGTAAAAATAATGAAAGCAGGAAACAAACAAATAAATAAAATAGTTTCCTTCTAATCCTTACATTCAATAATGCTGTGAAAATTGCCACAAGGTTAGATTCCTTATCAGCTACACTTTAACTGCTTACAGAAGTTCTCCTGCAAAGTCTATACAGTTTTGAAAACATTTTTTTTCATACAGTTTCTCGCCGTTCATCAGCTTTTGCAGAAGCAAAAATGTTATGCCTATATTATACGCTTAACATTTGTTTCTTTGTTTCACTACTAGAATCAGAGCCCTACTAATTATTTACAAGGACTGGATGGAAGACCCCTAATAGCTGCTCCTGTGTTCACCAAGGTGATTTGTTTGAATGAGCTCTTCTTGTAATGGGAAACAAGCAGTGGTGGGATTCAATTTTTTTTACTACCGATTCTGTGGGCGTGGCTTGGTGGTGGGCGTGGCAGGGGAAGGATACTGTAAAATCTCCAGTCAGAGGTGGGATTGGCCGGTTCTCCGAACTACTCAAAATTTCCACTATCAATTCCCCAGAACTGGTCAGAACCTGCTGAACACCACCTCTGGGAACAAGTACTGTAGATGTGATGATCCAATCCTCAGGCAATCATTGTCCAATCCTAAAATACCTTTCAAAAGCTCAGAGATTATATCATCAGCATCAGCATCCTAAAATTGCTTCTTTTACATCAGTACATCTTAAGCACACCTATCTGAAAACATTACATGCTTCTGCTGTACAAATTAAGAAAGTTCTCCAGATGACAATCTTTTAATAGCAACATCAGCTAAGATAAAATTGATAGTAGATTCCAATTCATTTAGAAAGCACCAGATTAGGGGAAGATGTTCTAGCATATATTGTAGTTGAAAATTTCTGTCCTGCTACTTTCCATCGACAGCTTTAACAGGTAAGTAGCACAGTGCCAACATTGGTGAATGTAGAAAGATAAGCAGGAATTCCTCTGGTCAGTACTTGGGTGGGATCATGTTTGAAATCTTGAACTGTTAATTAAAGTAGGAAACTGAGCAATGGGTCCCTATTCTGGGCAAAACCAATGGCAACTGTACAGATGTATCTATTCAGTGACCAGAAGCAAGTTCACTCAAAGCTGATTTTACTTTATTCACACCTGTGTAATAAAAAACAACTAGACACAAGAACAGTTTTTCCCCCAAAAGCCATCACTCTGCTAAACAAATAATTCCCTCAACACTGTCCAACTATTTACTAAGTCTGCATTACTATCACTATTAATCTACTCATTACTCCTATCACCCATCCCCTCCCACTTGCAACTGTATGACTGTAACTTTGTCGCTTGTATCCTTACGATCTATATTGACTGTTTGTTAGTATGTTTTGATTGCTTATTGTACCCTATGACTATAATTAAGTGTTGTGCCTTATGATTCTTGACTTTTGATGAATGTATCTTTTCTTTTATGTATGCTGAGAGTATTTGCACCAAGACAAATTCCTTGTGTGTCTAACCACACTTGGCCAATAAAAGAATTCTAATTCTAATTCTTAAAATATCGTAATGTCTGTTTTTGTTTTAGATGCTACAAAATATATCAGCCTCTGAGGGTCAGCTGGTCGTGTTTGAATGCCGGGTGAAAGGAGCTCCTTCTCCAAAAGTGGAGTGGTACAGAGAAGGGACATTGATAGAAGATTCTCCAGACTTTAGAATATTACAGAAAAGTATGATTTTTAGTTTTTATGGATTATAGTACTCTAGCTATAAAGTTATAAGTTATTGTCTTTGGCTACAGGTGACATTGACAAGCAAACTGACAAGTAAATTACATTGATAAGTAAATAAATCATGTGAAAACAGCATTTTTAAACTACCATTACCTCATGTACTATATAAATAGTTGTAATAATTAGGACTGCTATTATTCTAAAAGCACATCAGACGCACTCATGTCAATATTGTCTCCATGTTACAGATCAAAGTCTCCATGTTACAGATCAAAGCAGGGAAAATGGCCTCAAACCCTCATATTTGATTGTAGGAATGTCCTTAAATGCAGAAGATTCCCAGGCTGTGTTTGAGCACAACTGACATCAGTCAGCCATGATTCCTAGACCAGGGGAATAGGACTAGTCTATGCTGGATATTCTCTGACCAAACTCTGTACTCTTTCCTCTGGCTTCTTCAAAGACCAGAGCATTCTTTGTGGGGTGGATGGCTTGAAGTCTAGATTGTGAGGGAGGTCTTTGGGCAGAGTCAGGAGAATGGGACCTGATCCTGGTTCTCCACTGTGATTGGATCTGGATTTTTAACTCCTCCTCTTCCTCCTTCTCCTCTTCAAGAGGAGTCAGAGATTAGGAACATGACCAAAAGTAACTGTATTACTCCAGCAGTTTAAAGGTCCATCTATCTGGATTTAAAGAAGCTTAAGTGATACAAATTACCCCAAATATATATTGTTTTTTGTGCAAAACTTTGAAAGAACATTATGTGTCTTAAACTAAATATAGAATTAAGTAATTTTTTTTCTTTTTTATTAGAACCTCGCTCCATGGCTGAACCGGGTAAGTATATTTATCCCAGTGCACCTGCTTACTAAATTACTTCACTCTTAGAGAAGCGTTGCTGTGATTAAAAACAAGCAAGCAGATTTTTTTTAAAAAAAGGTATTCTTGTCAATATGTCTCATACACATAAAGCAAAGAGATTATATTGTTCCGGGGGCGCTATATTAGAAAAGTTGTATGATTCTGCTCCAAACATATAAAAAGGGATGGGACTTCAGTCACACAGTTGCAGTGGTTACCTTGACTGCTTTGATACTACCTGCAGGTATCCATGAACATGGGCATCTTCCATAACATGAAGCTATATTATTTAGTAGTATATTGAAAACTGGAAGAAGGCTGCTACTCATGTTTGCTATTAGATGTAGGAGACAAGGCCACTGCTCTTTTCTCTAACTTAAAAGTTCTTGACTACAACAAATAAGTGTTATGAATTGTGAAATATTCCATTCAATTTCATCTGAATATGAAATACAGAACAATAGGGTTGGCAGGTAGTTGGAAGGGAACTTGGAGGTCTTCTATCTAGTCCAATCCAGAGTTACTTTGAGTCTACTCCTTCCAGAGATACCCTGTGGTAAGATTGGGGGGGAAGGGGGAGGGGGGGGGGCAATAAATTTGATAAATAAATAAGCCTCCTTCCCAAGCAGAAAATCCTATATCAGTGCTTCTCAACCTGTGGGTCGCGACCCCTTTGGGGGTCAAATGACCCTTTGACAGGGGTCACCTAAGACCATTGGAAAATACATATTTTGATGGTCTTAGGAACCGAGCCATAATTTTATGGTTGGGGGTCACCGCAACATGAGGAATTGTATTAAAGGGCCGCGGCATTAGGAAGGTTGAGAGCCACTGTCCTATATTATTCCAGTGATGGAGCACTCACTACTTAGGAGGCAAGTCATTTCACTGGCTAATTGTTCTCACTGTCAGAAAACTTCTCCTTAGTTCTAGGTTGGATCTCTCTTTGATATGTTTCCATCCATTCCAGGATTCATTCTGGTCCTGCCCTAAGGTGCTTTGGAGAATAGATTTTCACACACACGCATACACACACACACACACACACACACACACACACACACACACAGTGAAAAAAGCAAGAAGTGCCACAAATAACAACAGAATAATCTACATACCTACTCTGAAAAAGTCCCACTGATTTTAATAGGACTTATTTCCAGGTCACTCTAAATAAATTATAAGTCAAGAATATAGCATTATGCTTTCATTTCCTAACGAGGCCCACTTAATTAAAGGAGTCTATTCTCTGTGAGGTAAGAATATCAATAGCACTGAAAGCTTGGAAAGATGACTAATTCTGACCCTGAAGATATTCAAAAGTTGGAATGATGCTTCTATTTTTCATCTTTACTAGATGGTCCTTATTTCAAAGCTGGGACTTCTGCTCTTTTCCAGCCTTGATGTGAATGAAACAGGCCTTATTATGTCCCTTTCTTGGAAGTCAAATGTACACCAGATGATGTTGGATGTACTATATTTATCCAACTTGCCAGTGGAAGTGTATTGTCACACCTTGACCTGTGCCAATTTTTTTCTCTTAACCCTCAGTGCTCCACATTGCTCTCACTCATGAAATAGGAGAGAATCACTTCAGGCATTCCAACTCCGAAATTGGAGAAGGCCACGTCAGGCATTCTCCCTCCAAGGGGGAACCCTGACTGCAACTATTTTTTTCCGTGACTTCAGGGCCAAAACAGTGAATCTGAGTCAGTGCTAGATGAAAGGGCACAAGGATCTCATCCAGGGACCATGGAGTAGCAACACCATGATTAAGGCACGCTAAAGTGCGTCCTATAGAAATGGCTTTGGAGGAACAAAAGCACATTTCTCTGTACCTTTAGCGAGAGAACTTTTTGTGGCCTGGAATGAACAGCCAGCTTCTCACTAGCTGATAGTCTGCCCACTTGCCAGAACATTGAGGGGACCAATCCAATTTCCCTTTCTTCTAAAGTGCATGGGTTGCCCTTTCCCTGAGCAGTTGAGCAGATTTGGTTCCTGTGAAACTCAAGACCCTACAGTGGTGGAGGTGGGGTCTATAGGGTGTGGTCAAAAAAAATCCAGATGGTGGCCACAATGGTCCAATTAAAACTCCTCCTATTTTTATGTGAATCATCAGGGCCACCATTAGAATTTCTTGACCTCACCCCATGGGAAATGACTCTTGCAATCATTTTAAATATGATGATAACAAGGAAACACTCAGAAATCCTGAATCTTTGTTAACACTTAAGGGTCACCCGGGCATTACTTTATTTAAACATATTTATATATCAGTGATTGCCTGATATCTGTAGATGCTATTCTTAACAAATTATTGAGTTTGTCATCTGTACCTCTATAACTGTCTGGTTTGGTTCTGCAACCCAACAAGACAGACACAGATTTCAAAGAGTAATTAGGACTGCAGAAAAAAAAATTATTACCAATTACTACCAACATGCCTTCCATCGAGGACTTGTATACTGCACGAGTCAAAAAGAGGGCTGTGAAAATATTTACAGACCCCTCACATCGCGGACATAAACTGTTTGAACTCCTTCCTTCAAAACGACATTATAAAGCACTGCATGCCAGAACAACTAGACACAAGGACAGTTTTTTCCCGAACACCATCACTCTACTAAACAAATAATTCCCTCAACCCTGTTCAACTATTTACAAAGTCTGCACTACTATTACTATTAATCTTCTCATCACCCTTTATCACCCATCCCCTCCCACATGTGACTGTATGACTGTAACTTTGTTGCTTGTATCCTTACAATTTATATTGGCTGTTTCCTAGTATGATTTGATTGCTTATTGTACCCTATGACTGTCATTAAGCATTGTACCTTATGGTTCTTGACGAATGAATCTTTTCTTTTTATGTACACTGAGAGTCCTTGTGTGTCCAACCACACTTGGCCAATAAAGTATTCTATTCTATTCTATTCTATTCTATTCTATTCTATTCTATTCTATTCTATTCTATTCTATTCTATTCCAAATAAAAAAGCTGATAATTTTCATATTCTCATACTAAGAAAGAGAGGCTAGATTTATTGTATGGGGCTTTAATCCCGTGTGTTTTTATTTTAACTTCAAATCTTACTTTATCTTCAGATCAGTTAGAAAAGTTATGCAAGGGGAAACACACACACGCCCCCCAGCTATTCTGCCAGTCTGTTAGCCTTTTACAAAACTGTATCCCAGTGAAGGATAGAAATCTCCCTTCTGTTTTCTGTATCATCACAAATGAGTTGCACTGAGTGGAGTGACTGTCCTAAAGTAATCCCACTGATTTCATGCCTAAAACAGGACTTGAATTCACCATTCCTGATGTCTAATCCAGCTCCTGATGTCTAATCCAGCACCTAAAACACTGCACTAAACTGCATCTTTTTATCTCTGTTGCTAAATAATGTTACCAGTTTTGGGTACTATGCATTTTAGAGAATCATACAGTGTTTTGATGAAATTGTACTTTCAAGTGACCCAAAATTGCCCAGTGCTGAGGATGCACCAGAATCTGGATGCCCCCCACTCTAAATCCGAGGGGAGACATCCAAGTTCTGGTCACTCTCTCTCAACCTAACCTACCGCATAGGTTTGGTATGGGGGAAAAATACAAGGAGGTAGCTTTAGGTAGACTGTTTTGAGCTTCTGTGCAAAAGGTGTGACTTGTTGGAATGTAATTCCTATTATTTCAATACGTTGTCTGGAAATTGTGGCATGAACTATGTAGAGATTAGAATCAGAATTAGAATTCTTTTATTGGCCAAGTGTGATTGGACACACAAGGAATTTGTCTTGGTGCAAATGCTCTCAGTATACATAAAAGATCAATTTGTCAAGAGTCAAGAATCATCAGGTACAATGCTTAATGATAGTCATAGGGTGCAATAAGCAATCAAATCATACTAGGAAACAGTCCATATAAATCGTACGGATACAAGAGACAAAGTTACAGTCATACAGTCACAAGTGGGAGGGGATGGGTGATAAGGAATGATGAGAAGATTAATAGTAATGTGAGGGGTCTGTAAATATTTTCACAGCCCTCTTTTTGACTCATGCAGTATACAGGTCCTCCATGGAAGGCAGGTTGGTAGTAATTGTTTTTTCTGCAGTCCTAATTATCCTCTGAAGTCTGTGTCTGTCCTGTTGGGTTGCAGAACTAAACCAGACAGTTATAGAGGTGCAGATGACAGACTCAATCATTCCTCTGTAGAACTGGATCAGCAGCTCCTTGGGCAGTTTGAGCTTTCTGAGTTGGTGCAGAAAGAACATTCTTTGTTGTGTTTTTTGATGACGTTTTTGATGCTAGGTGTCCATTTGTGATACAATAGAACCCAGAAATTTGAAGGTCTCCACTGTTGATACTAGGTCATGTTAATGGAAGGGTTATTTCATACTTTATGAAAAAGTGTAACTTTCTTACAATGGTTTTCAGAGGAGATCTGCACTTTGGTCATCGCTGAAGTCTTTTCAGAAGATTCAGGAAGTTTTACATGCACAGCAAGCAATAAATATGGGACTGTCTCCAGCTCATCTCATCTCATTGTTAAAGGTAGGGCTTCAATTTAAGCAACTTAATCAGAGAGACATTCAGTTTTATTATGGGGTGTTTGTTTTTGCATTATTTTATTTTATTTTAATAGCTTAGTCCAAGGGTCTTCAAACTTGGCAAGTTTAACACTTGTGGACTTCAACTCCCAGAATTCCTGAGCTAATATGACTGGAAGAAGAATTCTGGGAGTTGAAGTCCACAAGTCTTAAAGCTGTCAAGTTTGAAGACCCCTGGCTTAGTCTAACCAGGCACAGATCCTGGTTATCCAAGAGACCACCTTTCCTTGTTCCCCCACATCCTGACACACTGGGGTTATTTAAGGACTCATCATTTCAGCATCCCCACAGATGTTCAGCCATCCCCAATACCCTTTAAACAAGCCTTGAAGATCTGGCTTTTCCATCAGATCCTGGGCTGGGATGCATCTCATCCTGGACACAGCTATTTTGGGTTTGTTTATGACAGGGGTGCCCAAACTTGGCAGCTATGCTGGCTGGAGAATTCTGGGAGTTGAAGTCCACAAAAGTCTTAAAGTTGTCAAGTTTGAAGACCTCTGGTTTATAATATATGTCTGTTCCTCCTGTTATGATTTTTAAAATGTATTCTGGCTGGGTTTGTTTTTAAATTTGTGTGGTAGTCAGGGTCACCGCTCATTTGGGCAGCTTCCAAAATATATATAAATATGAATACATTTAAACAGCCTTGTTTCATAGTTTTATTATATTTTTATAATTTTAAATGTAGTTTTATAATGTCTAGGAAAGGAAAGAGGAAGAAAGTTCTAGATTTCAGAAGAATTTTGAAGTTCTAGATTTCAGAAGAATATGGCGGACTCGCCATATATGACTCTCTGATTATATATTTTTGTCATTTTGGTTCATTCTGATTAGAAGTTATTTAATGGATGTTTTGTTACAAATTACTGATTATAGTCCAACAAGACTTAATTAATTGCCATGAGTTAAAAGAAAGGAAATAAACAGACAAGAATATTTCTTTCAGTGAAAGTTCAGATTTTAGGCCAGGTGAAGTTTACAATTTAGACTCTTTCTAAATACTACAAACTGACTCTTGAGTTCTCACTTCACACAAGTCATTGTTTATTAAATGATATTTACATGCCGTGCTAAGCTATAAAACTATTTTTTAAATAAATCATAAAGTCTGGAACTAAAATAAACGAAATCATCACCAAACACACCACCCTGTGGCTTAGTGTGAATCGAGTTACTAAGCCATTCGTATGTGTTGCCAATATCCAATCATCCCTGGCATTTTGGGATAAGAAACAGGGCCTCTCTGCCTCCCCTCCTATTTCCAAAAAGGTTGATCATAACTCAGATTTCAGTAAGCGTTTCCAGAACTGTGGAAATTGTTTTGCAAAAAGAGGCTTGTGAAAATCAGGAAGAATGGTTGACACCCCCCCAAAAAAAAAAAAAAAAATTGCAGCAGCACGAAACAAAAGAAAATAGGTCAACTCTAAACTGATTGGTTAAAACATTTGTCATTATCCATATTTCCATGGAGTTCTTTTGTCTTTTTTGGTTGGAGAGAGAATAAGGATCCACCTATTTTTCTGTCAATTAGGATAAACAACTTTGATTTATGTTTCACTCTTTTCCCAGATAGCTTCAACAGGATTAGGGAGCTACAGAGAGATTAACTAACTATTGATGCTCTGAGTCTATTGTTTCCAACAACTATGCCACTTTCTAAGGAGCCAGAGTATTTCAGTTTTATTATTCAATTTGTATCCATCTTCTAATCTAATTTATATATTTGGGTCACAGATGGCACTGGAGAAAAAAAAATGAGTGGAGGGGAGAAATGCTCCCCAACCACAATCTGTCAAAACAGTCGCTCCATCAGGAGCAATTAGAGATATCTGCTAGACTGTTTTCCCCAATTAAAAAATTGCAGAAGAAATCATGTATTTGTGAAAGCCATTTTGGGGAAAAAATGTGAATGGAAAATGCAAATAAATCATAATTACTTTAGAAAAAACATAGAGAAAATTGCATGCAAATGCTTTGAACTTAGGAAAAGTTGCAATCAATCAATGGGTATGTATGATATAGTGGATAATTTTTTAACCAATATTCAAATAAAAAGGCCAAATGAAAATTGACAAGATCAATATGGGTTTGCTCTATAGGAGGGCTGTCAAACTTACGGCCTGGGGGCTGGATACGTCATGTGCTGGCCACACCCAAGCCCGGTTTAGCAAATGGGAGAAAAGTCCCGATGCGTCATGTGACGCCATGAGTTTGACACCCCTGCTCTATATTGATCTAGAGGCAACAACACATACAAAAAATGGAGATGGGACTTCGGTCACACCATCACAGATGTCATCTTGACTTTTTTTCCTCCTCTGTGGAGGCCTTTGGATCAATTTAATATTCCTAACCTGTGCCCAAAATGTACATTTTTATCACCCAACAATATTTATTTTCTTCTGTTGCTACTGATATATTTAAGCATGATAATACAAGAAAAAAGGGCCCGACTAGTAATAGTGGTCACGCACTCGATTTGGTGTTCTTGTCAGAACAGTGACTATGTGACCTGGAATTGGTGGACCTGCTCCTGGTCCCCTTGTCCTGGTCAGATCACAGTCTGGTGACAATGAGTTTCTCAAGAGCTGTACCTCCCCCCCTCCGCATGGAGGCAGGGCCTATTAGATTGGTCTGCCCCCATTGACTAATGGACCTGGATGGGTTCCAGGGGGGTTATAACTGCAGATCTACTATGAGTCCAGTCAAGCTCTTAGTCACTGTTTGGAATAGAAAGGTGACTGAGGCTCTGGGTAGGATTGCACCCATGTGACCTCTCCTCACCCATAGACCTCTCTGTGCCCCATGGTATGCAGAGGAACTGAGAGGGATGAAACGCATGGGGAGATGTCTAGAGCGGCACTGGTGGAAGACAGGGGATGAACTCAATCGAACACGGGTAAGAGCTGCTACTAAGGCCTACCTCGTGGCGATTCATGCAGCAAAGTGTAAATACTTCACGCTAATTGCACCTGCAGATTATCACCCAGCGGTCCTCTTTAAGGTGAGCCGCCTCCTCCTGGGGAAGGAGGAGATTGAGGTCCACCTGAAGGGGCACACTGAGGAATTTGCAGATTTTCTGGAAAACAAAATTGCTCAACTTCATTCCCAGTTAGATGTCGGCATGGTTGCTGGTCCAGTGGAAACCCCTGAGGCAGGTTCTTGCCCTGTTATCTGGGAATAGTTTGACTCTGTTGCTCCGGAGGAAGTGGACAAGGTCCTCGGGAGTATGCACACAAGCTCCTGTCCCTCCTAGCTTGTGAAAGCTTCCCAGGAGGTGACAGGTGGATGGACTCTGGTAGTGATTAATGCTTCCCTACAGGAGCGGGCAGTGCCCCAGCACTTTAAGGAGGCTCTGGTCCGCCCTCTTCTTAAGAAGCTATCACTGGACTCCACCCGTTTGGATAATTTCCGACCTGTCTCCAATCTTCCCTTTTTGGAGAAGGTTGTTGAGAAAGTGGTCACACAGCAGCTCCAGAGGTTTCTGGATGAAACAGATTATCTCGACCCCTACTAGTCAGGATTCAGGCCTGGATTTGGACGGAAACGGCATTGGTTGCACTTTTGGATGATCTCTGGTGGGAGCAGGATGGGGATAGTGCATCCATCCTTGTTCTACTTGACCACTCGAGGGCTTTTGATACCATCGACCATGATATTCTCCTGGAGCTGAAACTGCTCCAGGATGGGAGTGGGAGGCCTTGTGCTATCCTGGTTTACTTCCTTACTCTACGGCAGCTCTCAGTCAGTGTTGATAGGAGGGGAGAGATCCAGCCCTCACCCACTGCTTTATGAGATTCCGCAGGGCTCAGTACTCTCTCCACTCCTGTTCAACATTTATATGAAGGGTGAGATCATCCATCACAATGGACTGAGGTATCACCAATATGCTGATGATACTCAACTGTATGTCTCAGCCCTTGGTGAGTTAAGAGTTGCTGTGTCCTCCCTCTCACAGGCCCTGGAGGCTGTTAGGGGCTGGATGGGGAGCAATGGGTTAAATTAAACCCTTGCAAGACCGAGTGGCTCTGGGTTTTGGGTTTGTTGGCTCAGAGAGAATTACCACCTTTACTCTTGGATGGGGTGATGCTACCTCAAACAGACCCTATGTGTCAACTAGGGGTTTTCCTGGACTCACAACTCCTGTTTGAAGAGCAGATGGTGGTCGTGGCCAGGAGGGCCTTTGCACAACTGCTGGTTGTGCGTCAGTTACGCCCTTTCCTGGACCAACAGTCCCTACTCAGAATCACTCATGCCCTAGTCACTTCCTGTCTTGATGACTGCAATGTGCTCTACATGGGGCTGCCCTTGAAGAGCATCCGGAAGCTTCAGTTGGTGCAAAATGCAATGGCCTGCATGATCTTGTGCAGACCCCAGTATACACATGTATCACCTGTCCTGCAGGAACTATATCGGTTGCCAATTCGCTTTCGGGTGCAATTCAAGGTGCTGGATGTCACCTTTAAAGCCCTTTATGGCTTGGGACCAGGTTATCTGAGGGACCGTCTCTTGCCAGTCACATCTACCTGACCCATCAGAGGAGGGAGGCAGGGAATGTTGCAGGTCCCATCCCTGAGGGAGATATACCTGTGCGACCCAGAAGAAGGGCCTTCTCTGAGGTAGCTCCCTCTCTCTGGAACATCATACACAGGGGTGGGATTCCATTTTTTTAACAACCAGTTCTGTGGGCGTGGCTAGGTGGTCATGGCCATGTGACTGGGTGGGCATGGTGGGGTTTTTTTTTTTTTTTTTTTTTGAGTAAACCCCCCCCCCCCCATTTTTTGCCTCCTGGGCTTCAGGGAAGCTTCCTAGGGGGATGGTTTTACTCCCAGGAAGCTTTCCTGGGGCCCAGGAAGGCAGAAAAACAGAGCCTGGAGGGGCTCGTGGCACCCCCCCCCCCACACGCTCCATTTTAGGGCGTTCTGAGCCTCAAGGAAGCCTCTTGGGGGGCATTTTTGCTCCCAGAATGTTTCCCTGGAGCCCAAGAAGGCAAAAAATGGGGCTGGGGGCCGCACAGCACCCCCCCACACACACATATACACACACTGTTTTTGGCTCTCCTGAGACTCAGGGAAGCCTCCTGGGGGGGCATTTTTGCTCCCAGAAGGCTTTCCTGGGGCTCAGGAAGGCAAAAATTGGAGTGCAGGGGGGGCACAGCACACCCCCTCCTGCTTCCCCCCCCCCATTGCTCCCCTTTTTGCCTCCTGGGTGAAGCTGTAAGACAGCGAGGGGGATCCCGGCACAGCTGATCATTGGAACAGCTGATAACCAGAAGGGAGACAAAAAAAAGAAAGAAATATCTTAAGGAGTTACTGGCCGGGGGGGGGGGGGAATGCAGTTAAGCGATATCGGGCCTGTGTGCCATGTTGCACATGCGCAATAAGGACTGACTGGGCAGGGAGGGGAGGGGAGGGGAGGGGCAGGCAGAGAGGGGCAGGGGCCAGCCAGGGGCACGATTTGGCAATTCTCAAACTGCAAAGAATCATAACAACCGGTTCTATAGAACTGGTCCGAACCGGTAGAATCCCACCCTTGGTCATACCCCCCAGAGATTAAAACAGGCCCCATTTTAATCCTCTTCCAGAAGGCTCTGAAAGCTGGTTCTGCCAGTCAACCTGGGGAACCCAGAGTGGGATGGAGCTTATTAAAAGGCTCGTGGGATCTGCTGTTGCTAGGGTGGGGGGTGGGAGGTGATTTTGTTATATTGCACTATATTAATGTATTTGATTGCTTTTTTTTAGTTTTTATTGTTTTAAATGTGGTTTTATATTCTGTAAGCCGCCTTGAGTCGCCATGGGTGAATAGGCGGCAATATAAATTCAACAAATAAATAAATAATCAGGCAGTTCTTTGGGGCCCCAGGATAGCCCTTGTTACGTGCTGTTCTGCAAGCTGCACCGGCTGCCACTCTGCCTCTGAGTCCAGTTGAAGGTGTTGGTTTTTTTCAAGCCTTTCAGGGCGCTGGTCCAGGCTATTTGAGAAACCGGCTCACCCCCGATGGAATTAGACTGCCGCACCTGTGCTGGCTGAAGGGGAGGTGGGGGTGGCATGCCTGCAGACCCTTTCAGCCAAGGAATTTTGGCTGGGGAAGTCCAGAAGAAGAGCTTTTCCTGGTGTGGATCAAAAGGCCTTGAAGACATAACAGCCAACTAGCGAAGGGCCTAATGAGGCCTGTGGCATGTTGGAGGTGGCTAATGGAGTAGATTGCACCCCACCTCCTCCGTGTGTGTGTGTGTGTGTGTGTGTGTGCGCACTTTGCTCCTTCCTTCTCCATCCTGCTTAGCTTTATCTTAATTGAATTTTTAAATTTAACATCTTTATTTATTGTTTTAATGTTTTATACTGCATGTTATTTAATGTCTGTAAGCTGCCTAGAATCGCCTTTGGCAAGATGGGCAGCATAAAATTTTGATAGAGAGATAGATAGACAGACAGACAGACAAACAAACAAACAAATAAATAAATAAATAATGCTTCTGTTATAGGGCCTGTGGACCAGACAAGTAATGCTGCTCTTCATACCATAAGTTCTCTCAGTTTAGTGGCTTCTGAACGCCAGCCTTCAGCATCTACCCCTTCAGCACTTTCATTGATAGATAATCCTCCAAAACCTAAATTGGAAAGCGTTCTGGTAAATCACAATGAGCCCCGGTCAAGTTCCAAAATTGGCCTTCGTGTGCACTTTAACCTCCCTGAAGATGAGAAGGGAAGTGAAATGTCATCAGAAGATGGAGGCGGACCTAAAAGCCAAGCCAGACCAAACAGTTTTCCAAACAGAATCAATGGACAGGCTTTTAAACTTCAGGAGCCTTCTTCACCCTCCAAAGAACCACCACCCGTCCTGGCTAAACCTAAACTGTAAGTAAGAAAATACTGGTTGGCCCATATTTAGTGCTGGAGGGACATCCCATTATAAGTTCAATTTATCTCTTCTTACTTCATACAATTGTACAGCATTGGGCACCTGGGTTGAGGAGGTGTAGATTATTGCTCTTTGTTTCCTAACTTCTTCAATATCTTTGTACGTTGGAAGCCAATCAGGACACAGAGTAATAGAGAAGTTACTTGTGAATAAATACTTAAGCATCAAGCTTGCAGGAAGTGAAATATATTGTCAATCTGGAAACATTATTTTGCTATAGAACAGGGATGTCGAACCTTGGCAACTTGAGACCCATGGACTTCAACTCTCAGAATTTCCCAGAATTCTGGGAGTTGAAGCCCATAGGTCTTAAAGTTCTCAAGTTTGTACCAGAGGTGGTATTCAGCAGGTTCTGACCAGTTCTGGAGAACCAGTAGCGGAAATTTTGAGTAGTTTGGAGAACCGGCCAATACCACCTCTGACTGGCCCGCCCCCATCTATTCTCTGCCTCCTGAGTCCCAGCTGATCAGCTGGGTCTTCTTTGGCTGCTCTGCACAGGAGAACGGAGCTGGAAAGCAGGTTAGTGAGGTGGGGAGGGAATGGGGATTTTACAGTATCCTTCCCCCAAGAGTGGGGAGGGAATGGAGATTTTGCAAGATCCTTCCCCTGCCACTCTCACCAAGCCATGCCCACCAAGCCACGCCTACAGAACCGGTAGTAAAAAAAAATTGAATCCCACCACTGGTTTGCACATCCCTGCTGTAGAACAATATTAGGTCTCCAGATTCTTTGGTAATACCCAAAGAATAAAGGATACCTACAAAGGAAAAGCTAGGATGCTTCTGGTTATGTTTTCTTGTGATTGCCTCTGTGGGGGAGTTAACAGGATGGGTAAAGGGGAGACAAAAACTTAGTTGAGTGGTTGTGGCTGTGTGATCAAAGTCCCACCCTTTTATTGATGTGTCATTTGCAACACACATAAGAAGGGCAGGCTTTGATAACACAGTCATGGCTGCCATCTTGACTTTTTTGACACCACTATCCCTAGTAGATGTCCCTGCTTATCTCACAAAAATATTGTGAGCTTCAGATTATGAGGCAGCCTCCCTATGTTCTTCCACTGTCGTCCCCACATGTTTACATTCTTACAATTGAAATTATATGAAGGGGCAGAAGAAAAGATGAAATAGGTATACAATGTCTTTTTGAGTAATAGACTTTCTGGCTGGAAAAGAAAAATGAAAAGTATTTCATTAGAAGGAATTGATCAGGTTTCTGTAGGTGGGGAAATCATCTGTTTGTAATACGTGGGACTCAGATTTTGGATTGTTTGTTGTGCCTTCTTCCAGTTCTTCCTTGCTCCAAAAAAGGCTTTGAAATGCAAGGCAAAATGTATAATTTTGATTTGTTTTTCAAACAGTAGATCCTAAAGCCTGTTCAAGCACCCTGTAGCATAAATTGCATCTATTTTTATTTTTTTGGATACAGGGATGCCACCCAGTTAAAACAACTACACAATCAGGTGTTGTTTGAGCAACAGCAAATCCATCAACCGTCTCACCCAGTTCCACCAGAGTCATTATTCAATACTGGCCCAGGAAAATCTGCTACTCTGCCCATTCAGCAGCAGCACCAGAAGCAACCTTCAGGAGCTACATACAAGCAGAACAAGGTTCCTTCTACCCAGACATTCACATACACCCGACCTAAACAGTTCCTGGCATCTCAAAACACCTCAGCAGCCAGTAGCCCTTTTAGCTCCACTGTGTCTTCTTTCAGCAATGTACCTCAAGGAACCCAGAAAATGATGAAAAAGGAAAACCTCTTAGTATCTCCTCCGCCAGCCCAATCAAAATCCCCAGGAGGGTTGGCAAACCAAACGGAGCAGCCTCTTCCAAGTCCCAGAGAACATGTGTTGCCACCACTTCTGCTCTCTGTGTCTAACATGAACCAGTTCCAGCCCCAAAATGTGCTTGCTACACCTCTGTCTCCTACTGGTCGGATTCAGAATCCCGTTGCTTTCCTGAGTGCTGTTCTACCTGCGCTTCCTTCTACACCCCCAACAAATGCCATGGGTCTGCCTAAATGTGCACCTGCTGTGTAAGTAATGCACCTCAGTGCATGACCACTCAGTAAAAATATACTCATCTGGCTATCTGTTCACTCAGCAAGTTAAAATAGCCCTCCTCCTTCTCTGTCTTCTCCTTCTCCCTTCCATTCTTCTGCTTCTTCTCTCAGATTACTGTTTTTCTCATTTTTCTTAATATCTTAGGCTTACCTCTGGATCATCTTTGCTTTTTTTGTTCCCTGAAATTGTTCCCTTGACTGAAGAGAGGATATTATATTCTAGAATGTTCTGTTGCAATAGTGTGATTTCATTATTCACAATTAAAGTCATAGGAGTTCTAGTCCCACAATATTTAGAGGGTTTTAATCTAGTTTAATGTATTGAAAGGTTGCTTTTAAAAACTGGTCACCACCATACGAAAAAGATGCTGAGACCTCACGAAAGTGTGTATAGAAGAGTAACAAAGATGTCAAGGGGTCTGGAAGCTAAATCGTAGGATGAACATTTGAAGGAGTTCGGTATGCCTAGCCTAGTGAAGAGAAGGATTGGGGAGACATGGTAGCAGTCTTCTAGTACTTGAGGTCTGTTAGGGAGACGAGGGGATTGGCTTATTCTCCAAAGCACCAGAGGGCAGGACAAGATTTAATGGGTGGAAGCTTGTTAAAGAGAGATCAAACCTGGAAATAAGGAGAGATTTTCCTGACAGTGAGAACAATTCATCCATGGGAAAGCTTGCATTCCAGAGCTGTGAGCGCTCCATTGCTGGAGGTTTTCAAAAGTAGACTGGACAACCTTTTGACTGGTATGGTATAAGGTCTTCTGCCTTGAGCAGGAGGTTGAACTAGATGACCTCTGAGGTCCCTTCCAACTCTATGATTCTGTTCTGTGTTCTATGTTTTAAAAGTCCACACTTTAAATCCATGAGTAGGATTCCATGATATATCAACACAACCTCTCTAATTAAAAAAAAAGCCATAGGGCCTTTTATGTAACCATAAAAAGCAATAAAAAATCAGGTATGTGTAGCAATAATGATAACAGGCATTTGTTCTAGTATAATATTGAATTGCTAGGTTTTACTAGTCTGCCTAGATTCTGCTTCTATTCTAGATTTGTAATGCTAGTGTAAATTTTCTTCAGCCTTTGTAAACTAGATTGTATATGAATTCCCAGAACCAAATAGTGGAAGCACTATAGATTTTTAACAAAAAGCACAATGGAAAAGGAGACCTATAAAGACTCAGGGGTATCACAGGATTCAGAGACCATCCGAGATAGTGAGTCAGCTTCCAGCACTTTCTTCTTGTTTTTGTCCCTCGGAAAAGCTGGTGGATTAATTCAGGGCTTAGGCAGGCGTTAATCTGAGTCTCAATTTCACAGGGGCAGCCATGGAATGCTGAAAAAAACCCTCCACCCTTTGCAGTCATCATCAACAGAGGATGCCATGAAAGACGACAAAGCCGCCGTTGTGAAAGGTTTAGAGAAACGGCTGCATTTATGGAATGATGAATCTTTCCAGAGTCAACAGGTCAGTTTGCAGGCTACCGTTAAAATGTGTGTGCCGCTGAAATGTCAAGCCCTGGGGGTGGAAAAAGACCTGGGGGGGAGGAAACCTCTCAGGTAGCGTGGCATTAAATGGGCAAAAGGGGTTGATTCCGTGGTGGAATTCAAAACCTTTTACCACCGGTTCAGTGGGCGTGTCTTGGTGGGCACACTTTGTGCATGTGCACACACTTTGCGTGCGCACACTTTGCATGCATGCCCATGCCAAATGCACACTTTGTGTAGGCGCAGAGGCGTTCCAACTCTCCTCCTGCAAGCATGCACTCTCCCGGTCGCTTCAGTAGCTGCCACGCAGCACTCTTCTGTGCCGCGCAAAAGCAGCCGCGCTTCAAATTCAGAGGATAAAGGTGAGTATGGGGGGCTGGGCAGGCAGGTGGGCCTAACATCAGAGCGGCAAAGGGAATCGGTTTGGTCTCTGCTGCTCATCGCTGCTACCAGCTTGGCAGAACTGGGCCAAACTAGTAGAATACCACCACTGTGTTGATTGCATCAAAGGGACTCACTTGACAGAGAAAAGAGGTAAAATTCTATCTAAGACATACACTCCCACACCCTGTTCCAAAGTCCCAAACTTGTGAATGTTTCTTGCTTACAATCACTACGATGATTTGTCTAAAGCGGGGGTGTCCCTAAGGACTAATGGACTTCCATGGCTGGCTGGGCAATTCTTGGAGTTGAAGTCCACAAGTCTTAAAGTTGCCAAGGTTGAACACCCCTGGTCTAAAGCAAACAGATTTGTCCATGATTAATAGTTGTTTATACCAGAGTTGTAAATAGCATGGTTTCAATTATCTCAGAATCAGCCATTTCTCCCTTCCAATGAGGCGACTTAGGTTGAGGTGAATCTTTTAATTCCAGATGATATGTACTCAATCACTAACTATTCCAATGACTTCCAGTCGAGAAACTCCTCACACATTGCAAAGGTGAAGGTGCTATCTCAGTGCAGGAGGTTCTTAAATTCTTAAATGGTGAGCAGGATCAGGCTTCATCCTGGCAAGATGGCAGGAATGATTCTACTTTGGTTATCTTCTACCTTTGAGTATGGATCAGATTGCATCATCCTGCATGAATTTAATCTGTAACTTGTGGGCCCTTATGAGCTCATGGTTCCTTAGCTATGGCTAAGAGGTCCTTTGCACAATTGCATCTGGTGCGACAGTTATTACTTGCCTTTGTTTGGGAGGCCTTGCTCAGTCACTCCTGTCTTTGTCATCTCTTGTCTGGGCATTTGCAATGCACAACTCCAACTGATCCAGAATGCAGCAGCACAAGCAGAGATGGGACCTCCAAGTTCTATATAAGCTTTGAGGGTTGCATTAGTTACCGGTCTTCTTCTGAGTGCCATTCAAGAGGTTGGCTGTCACCTTTAAAATCCTATATAGCTTACAATCTGGCTATCTTTTGATGACTTCTCACCCTGTAAAATGAGGAATGGTGGGATCTCTCCAAGTTCTTCCTCTTCAGGAGTGTCATCTTCAGGGACATTTCTCAGTAGAGGTACCACTTTCTCAGGAGAGCATCACCTGATTGGTTTTGCAGAAAGCCATTAAAACTCAGCTATTCCAAGAAATATTGGGAAACAGATTTGTTGTGGCTTGTTATGATTCATATTAAGATGAATCCTCCTGATATAGAGGATGATTTCTGTGTTCCTATTGCTGTTCCACTCGTGCAAGGGCTGCTGTTGATCTTTGTTGCATTGATTACTACTTCAATTTTCTAATGGAAGAGTATAAAAATATCATAATCCTGTTTGGGGTGACATAAATTGCAGTAAACAAAAAGAACATGCTTAATATGGAAAGTGTCAACAATATACATCAACAAGAGATTATACTGAACATCATTAAGACAAGATTATATTGATATTTAACTGCTGTTACCAGCACAGTCCATTGTACTGAGTCATATATTCAGGCTGAAGTCTATCTTGCTTTTGCAAGGCTGTTGAAGACACCACTGTTTCTCCCATTAGTTTTCTTCTTAATCAACAACAAGCAAATAGTGCTAAGCTTATTCTTCGGGAGGAAATGAACCTCCAGTTTCTCCCAGAATACCACTAGATCAGGACCCAGAGGCATTCTGGCAAAATGAAGGCAGCAGCCGGGACACCTGTCCTTAGCAGGGGTCTTCTCTGGATGGAGGGCTGCCAGCTGTCCCAGTTGCAACTGCCAAAGAAGCACCAGGAGAAGATTGAAGAGGGTATCAGAAGGTAGAACACTGCACCTGCTCCAGTCCATCACTGATCTCGTATACAAGGTCTTGTTTATTTATTTCTGTATTTAATATATTTTGTTAGGCTAGGAATACAAAACCAGAGGCAGCTTGGGAGCTCACTCTTCAGCTCCAATGAGTACTACCAGATATTTTCTTGGAAACTTTAGTAGAAGGTATCACCAAGGAAAGGGGAATATGGAACCTCAGGGTATCAGCCATTCATGGTAGACCAGAGCAGGAAATCAAATCGCCAGGAAGGCTAAAATTACTTTTGTTGAAATGGGCTATATTAGCAGAATCTTGCAAGTCTGAGCATCGTATACCTCTCTTCCTTCTTACAGTTCAGTAAATTACAGCAATACCAGTCTGAGGCACTTATGAATGTTATCTGGACCTCCTGGTTTAGCTCCTTTTCATCTACCTTCTACGTATCTCCATCAAGGTCATCTTACTTATTCTCTACATTGAAGCCCCCACAGCCATTTCAAAAGCCCCTTTACCCAAGTTTGCTTAAATCCGAAGGCACAGTTGCCTCCTTCTTAAGGTGCAAAATATAAGCTACTATACTTATAGCTAGATACATTACTGTGCCTTAAAAAAGAAAAAAAAACCATTCAATTCAGCCCCATCCACTGTCTGCATCCCCTTAGTGACCTCCTTGTCCAAATTCAAAAAGTGGCATTGGGCCACCCAAAGTTTGCCTATTTCTGGTCCAACAATGCCAAAGGCTGTTCTATTCCATTGAACAGGCCAGTGCAATAATTCGTGTCATTGTGTTCATTTATTATCTGGACAATCCTATTGTTTTCTTTTACTGACTTGACCTTATGTCTTTCACAGAAACCCAGAAATGGGAAAGAAAGAACTGGGCTTCCAACATGCAGAGGGATACTCTTCATTTTGGAAGGCTTGCACAGTGTGCAATATTGTCTTCCTAACCTAACTCTAAATTTGGCGTGGCAGCCACCTCCTTTACCAAATAATCTAGCAAACAGAGGCTAGACCCATAGATGGGTCCGAGGACAGGGCCAAAACTGTGAAGATGGCAACACGTACCTTAAAAGTGGGGCTGGGGTGGGTTCAGTTGTGCGACCGCCATCTTGATTCTTTTAACACACACATGAATACCCCAGACAGCTGGCTGGCAAAATGAGAAATAAATATATAAAAATCCAAACTGGAATCACCCCAAACTGTATAGGAGAAGGCTTTTCCCCCTCTCACCCCCTTTGTGACTTCAATTCAGCTGTGAAAAAGCCAAAAGGGGAAGAAAAAAAAAGAAATGCTGAGGCTACAGTAGCCTCACTCTCCCATCTCTGTCTGGAAGCCAAACTAAAAGGTTCCTTTCAGATTTATTCCCCCACCCAGGACTTCTCGGCATGTACAGGTAGCAATAAAAAGACCTAAGACAAAGCATGGGCAAAAACCTGTTGATCAGAATAGAACTGAATTATGGTTAGTATCCCAATGATATAATTCTACTTGAAGTATGCTGAGTCAACCTAGCTGGAGACTTAACTTTTTAATGTAATTATAGCTAAATCACTTTGCAACTGACCAGTATTTTGGCAGAGATGAGACCTCGGACTTTTAGACTTACTATTTTATTGACTCCAGAACTGAGCTGTCTTTCTGCAAATAGATCCCAGGGCCAAGTGGGGTCCAAATTAAACTGAGTAAATACCACATGACAGATTGTGAAATAGATCCATGAATACCTTTGGGATGATTAAAGAGATGTTTTTCGCTTTACTTTATATGTGGAGTCCCACATACCAGCGTTGTCAACATGGTGATGCTTGCAGATGGTCCCAACTCTCCATATCCACCCACTTATCAGAATGAAAGGAACCCTACAGAAATGAAAATTAGCAACACCACAACTAATAAATGTTTTGAGTCTCTTCTTTTGGAATAAGCTACTTAATACTTTCTAGTAAAATATGCCAGGTACCTGGCTATATTTGAACAGATGGCAGAAACAAGGGCGTTACAGTTTGTACTTGCTGAAGGAAAGACTAAGATAAATTGCTGAAAAGATGATGATGAAATATCATCTGATTTTTGCATTAGTGATATGGCTCCTTTAGAAGCCTCCCTCATTCTGCAGCCACCAAATGAGCAGATGAGAGCACAAGCTATTTACATACGGTGCGGTTGATTGTATAAGTTCACAGGGGTGTATGCAACTCAAGTAACTAAATCCAGTGGGATTGTCTTTAGAGGGCAGAAGTACCAGGTTACAACTTTATTGCCATTATGATGGACTGCTTATTATTCTCATCATAGTTTCGAGCAGATATTCAAAGGCAATTCCACATTAGTAACTTACTGTGCCATATACAGGTAGTCTTCATGCGGTCTATGACCGCAGTTGGAGCAAGAATTTCCACTGCTAACCAAGGTGATTATTAAGTGAGTCTCGCCCAATTTTATGACATTTTTTTTTGCCACAGTTGTTAAATTACTGCAACTAAGTGAATGATACAATTGTTAAGCAAATCTAGGTTCCCCCATTGAACTTTCTTTGTTGAAGGCCAGCTGGGAAGGTCAAAAATGGCAATCACATTATCCCAGGATGCTGTAACCATCAAAAATACATGCTAGTTGCTGAACACCTGAATTTTTATCATGTGTCCGCGGGGATGCTGCAGTAGTCATAAATGTAAGCACCAGTCATAAGTCACTTTTTTCAGTGCCAGTTTAACGGTCACTAAATAAATGATTGTAAGTTGAAGAGTCATCCAGCCATTGTTTTGCAATATATCAACAATAAATAAACAGGTTGGTTTGTTCTTTAATGTCCATAGCAGTGGCTTTGTAGTACCATAAAATATCATAAACCACTAATTTGAAAATAGCCTATGTATCCTTCTCACTTCCTCTTTTATTAAAAGAAGCCTATCTAGGCTTGCATCAGAAAGTTAACCAGTTTCTGACCCAGGACATGGGAAACCTAAGAAAATTCTAGGATTATTAGAAAAGACTGGGAAACTTAAAATAATCCCAGAAAAGACATCCAGTCCTTCCATGTTGCTGTCGAGGAGACTACATGGACATTCCCAAGCCATTGTAAGGAGAGAGCCCGATTTGAGGGAAAGTTAGTTTTACTTTTTCTTTGCTTTGTTGAGTAGGTAGGCATGCATAAGCGCACCAACGTGCCTACCGTCCCTGTCCTATTGTTTCTTTTATTTTTCTTATATGTGTTCATTTCATGTATTCATAACTATGTTTATCCTTATTCCTATTATCTTGTAAGTGATTGACAAATCAAATAAATTAAAATTAAAATTAATGGCCACTGAAGCAAATGCAATTCTGCCAGGGAAAATTATTCCTTTAGAATAGTAAATGCCAAGAGAAGGATGAACGCCTCAGCATGTTGCACATCATAATATGAATTGTTGACAAAGACATTAAATGAGCAGAAGACATTAAATGATCTGGTACATCTGGACTGGAATCCTTGCTAGTCCAAAATTATTCAGTTAAGGAAATAGAATGATATTTTGCTCCTATCTGAAGCATTGGTTTATTGAAGGGAATGGATAGATAATAGTTAAACTCTGCAATGGTTTAATGTGCTTAATATAAGAATAGAATAGAATAGAATAGAATAGAATAGAATAGAATAG